GGGGGAAAGAGAATGGGGAGGGGATGACGAGGTGGATGAGGAGGAGGAGGAGGAGGAGGAGGAGGAGGAGGAGGAGGAGGAGTAGGAGGCGAGTATGAGCGTGAGTCTCGTACGGAGTTTTTCTGCGGGAGCCCTTGCGCTTCTCATGTGGGACAGGTGTGCGGTCACTTTGTATCGATTTCGACGTGCGTGGTCTGGCCTCGAGTGGGGGAGGACGAGGAGGAGAGAGAGAGAAGCAGTAGGAATGGGGACCATGATGACGAGGGGGAAGAGGAGGATCAGTGTAAACCTAAGACTAACCGACGAAGTTGCAATATACCCTCCCTCTAAGTTCCTTCTTCGTAAGCCCCTACAATGATTCATTCTCACTGAAGGAAGTGCCCCGTTGGAACACAACGTTTTGTAAATCCTGAACTGCACCAGAACACCACTCCTGGGACTTGAACGTTGGGGATCCCCTTTTCTGTTGCCTATTGTCGATCCTGAGTCGTGCTAGAGCACCTTTTCCTGGAATCCTGGAATTTCAACACCACGAGTCAACGTATCTGTAGCGCCCTGACAGGCCGACATCGTGCGAGATCATCATTTCTAGGACGCTAACCGTGAGAATCCTTGAAGCAGGTGTAAGTTCTTAAACGAACGTGCGCGGAACTAGGGTGAAAACCTCTTTTTTGAAAAGGTATTGCCCTCTGACCATGAAACTGTTACAGCTCAACAAGACGACTGTCCGCGGCGCTAAGGCGAGAGCCACATTTTGAAAACGGCCCACCATCCATGTGAGAAGCTCCTGCAAATGTTCAAAACGAGCGTTCGCGTCGCTAAGGCGAGAGCCACATTATGAAAACGACCTGCCTTCCATCGGTGAAGTTCTTGCAGCTGTTCAAGACGGAGGAGCGCGGCGCCAAGATAACAGCTACATGATGACAAAGGCCCGCCCCACATCCGTGAAGCTTTCTTTTTCTGTTAGACGAACGTGCGCGGCGCTGAGGCGACAGCCACATTTTGAAAACGATCCGCCCTCCAGCTGTACAGCCTCCGCATTTTTAAGACGATTGTGCGCGGCCCTAAGGCGAGAGCCACATTTTAAACAGAACCCGCCCGCCATCCGTGAAACTCTAGTGTTCAACGGCCGGCCCACCCTATGAAAGAGCGCGTTCTGTGGTCGTTTGCAGAGGGGGGGGAGTTGGAACCTGACCCCCCCCCCTTGGCGGCGGCGGCGGCTGGCGGCGGCGGCGGCTGGCGGCAGCGGCGGCTGGCGGCAGCGGCGGGGACGACGATTTCCTGTTGTGGGCCGGCGCCAGCGCCTGCGGCGGCGGGCGGCGGCGGGGAGCGTCGACGAGGACGACGGTGGTGGTGGTGATGGTGGGTTGTGGTGATGGTGGTGGCGGTGGTGGTGGTTGTGGTGGTGGTGGTGGTGTGGTGGTTAGTTGTTGTGGTGGTTGTGGTGGTGGGTGGTGGTGGTTGTGGTTGTGGTGGTGGTGGTGGTTTGGTGGCGGTGTGGTGGTGGCTTGTGGTGGTGGTGGTGCTGGCGGTTGTGTGTTGTGGTGGTGGTGGTGCTTGAGGTGGTTTGGCGGTGGTGTGGTGGTGGTTTATGGTGGTGGTGGTGGGTTGTGGTGGTGGCGGTGGATTGTAGAGGTGGTGTTGGTGGTGGTCGTGGATGCGGTGGTGGTTGTGGTGGTGGTGTGGTGGTTTGTGGTGGTGGTGGTGGGTTGTGCTGCTGGTAGTGGTGGTGCTGGTGGCGGTGGTGGTGGTGTGGTAGATTGTGGTGGTGGTGTGGTGGTACTGGTCGTGGGTTTTTGTGGTGGTGGTGATGGTAAGTTGTGGTGGTGGTTGTGGTGGTGGCTGTGGTGGTGGTGGTGGTGGTGGTGGTGGTGGTGGTGGTTGTGTGGTGGGTTGGCGGTGGTGGTGGTGGGTTGAGGCGGTGGTGGTGGTGGTAGTGGTTGTGGTGGTGGTGGTGGTAGTGGTAATCGTCGTTGCGTCCCCGCCGTCGCCGGCGCCAACCCCCCATTCGGGAGGGGGGGGTTTGGGGGGGGAGGGGAATCCCCTTGGTTTTGATCGACGGCGCCGAGAGTTGGGGGGGGGCTCACCCCCCGATTCGACACGCGCCGCCGAATGTTCCCAAGACAAGCGCCCGTGAAACGCGCCCTCTCCACCCTATCGACCAGCTTCAGGGCGCGACAGGGAGGAGTTGTTTATAGGGAAAATGAAGTGAGGAGGACGAAGAGGAGGACTCATGACGACGACGAGGACTGGGAGAGGGAGGAGGGGACGGCCAGGAAGGTGCGTTCGCCAAGCCCTCGAGCTTGAAGTATTCTGAGCCTCCTCCCTCCTACTTCCTCCCTCTGTATCCCTGGGGTTACTTGAACGTTCTGGGGGGCCCTCCTCCCCCTCTCCACCCGGAGGAGCTGGCCGCGTCTCTGCTCCTGCTGCCGACCGCGTCCAGCGGCCTGGCGCGCCCCCCACCACCCGATGCCGCCGCCGCCGCCGCTGACGCCGATGACGAAAACGCCACCTACACCGACGATGGCGAGGACGACGAGGACAACGACGCCGACGACGACGACGATGACGAAGACGGCGGGGACGCCGCCGCCGTTGACGTCCACGCCGTCGCCGAAGCCGACCGCTCAGGCGCGCGCGCGCGCGCGAGCGTGCACCGTGCCGGCGGCGCGCGGCGCGGGGAGTGGCCGTCGTGCGCGCTGCACGCGGGGCACTTGGACCACGTCGGCGCGCGCCGTCTGTTTCATGTGCGCTGGGGAGGCGACGGGGGGATGTGGAGAGAATCCTGATCCTCCTCGTTTTTGACGCTTCGCATCTCCCCATCAGCCCATCCAGAAAAAATGTACAGGATAGGTAGCTGCTTGAGTCAGGAGGCTGAGGGAGGGCAGGATGATGGGGAGGAGGGCGAGGACGAGCAGGAGCTGGAGACGGAACAAAAAAGACACGGAAGAGGGATAATGGCGAGGAGGGCGAGGATGATGAGGAGGATGAGGGAGAGGAGGCTGAGAAAGGCTAGCATGTGGCTTTCGCGGATCTTCTCGGCTGTGGCACCATATTGGGGGATTGTTGGGCCTGACTTGGGGTATTCTTAGGGCCCTCTCGGAGTTCTCGCCGTGTCCATCGTCGTCCCTCCCCACCCTACCTTCTTCCATCTACCCAGAAGTACCTAACATCTCCTTCCTTCTCCTCCTCATTATCCGTGGTCTCGTTTACAGGGCTCGGTACACAAGTGGTGGTCTCGTTTTCAAGTTCGGAACACTCGTGGGCAAAGTGGGTTTTGCAGAGGGCACCTTCTCAAGCACATCACCGGCGCCGTCACGGAGGACAGCGGAAACGATGGTTAGAGGCCGAGGATATCTACTGTTTGATCTGAGGGCCGAGGCCCCGCCGCGCCGCCCTGTTCAGGGCCAGATCCCCGGATCCGATGCCAGCACACTCTGCCTCTCTCTCTCTCTCTCTCTCTTTCCTTCTCCTCCGTCCTTTCTTGTCGTCCCTTCTAGTTCCTGGTTCCTCGTGTCTTCCTTCCTTTGCCCTCTGCCCCCGCTTCCCTTCATCCCTCCTCTACCCTCCTTCGTCTCCGACCACCGCTCGCATTTCTCTCCTTTTCTCCTCCCTTCCTCGTCCTTCGCCTCTTTCGGGGCCTCCTCCCCTTTACCGTCGCCTTCTTTCCCTGCCTGCTTGCAGGCCCATCTGGGAGCTCGGAGGCCAGCCTGCAGCCGCCCACGGCGAGACAAACCGAGTGTCGTGCCCCCCGCGGCCGTCCTACTTCAGTATCGTTCAAACCTATCTCCATCCCTTCCGTGCCATGGCATCTCAGCACCACCATCTCGCACTCCCAGTTGAGGATAGGCCCTTCGAAACCCGAGGGAACAGACACGTATCCCCATGTTTGGTGGTAATCGACCAGTTGGGCCAAGGAGGCGCCAGTGGGGATAGGGATCGGTCAAACTTTGGCATCGCTCGGACGCGTGCATCTTTGCCAGAAATCTGGACCATCTTCTATAATCTTCAGAAACAACAGAAACACGCACGAAATCAGACAATGCACGGGGACTGGTCTTCCGAGCGATGGCACGCAAACGATGCTCACTCCACGCGACCCCCCCCGCGGCGGCGAAAGTGCCCGCTTCCCCGGCGCCGGGCCGACAGCGTGCGCCACCCACTTTTCGAAAATCAAACAATTTCATGAACATGATTTTGGAGTTCCGCGCGGATTTGTTGGATCTGCGCTGGACTTGCCTCCCTGGCGCGCGGAGCGCGCCAGGGGTGGCGCCAGAGGCGCCGCCCAGGGGTGCCCCAGCGCGGATTCGAGAAATCCGCGCGGAGGTCCAGCAGTTTATGTTGATGCAGTTTAGATTCATCGGCTTACGCCGCACCGCCGACCCCTTGGGGCGGCAGCACGAGTGAAAGACGGAGTTCACGGAATGCGCGCGATCGCTGGGCAGTCTTTGGGTTTCGGCCTGTCTTACGTAGCGTGTGGGGTTCAAGAGGGGCCTTGTAGGGGATTGTTTTGAAGTTATTCGTGGTCTTGCGTGGGTTTCTTTGGGTTTTCACGGGGCCTGTCCTAATTAGGCCTCCTTTCCCACCCCCTGGATAGGCTCGGGGACCGTTGAGACCCATGTGGGGGTGCGTCCGACCAGAAGTTCGAGAGTGGACCCAGCTGTGTCGACGAGGAGCTTCCTGAAGACCCAGAGGGGGCGGAAAGCGCCCAAGAATGAGGAGTCTCATGCCTCGAGCCTCGATCCACCCCGTGCGCCTTCCTTTGCGAAGGGGCGGTGCCGGCCAGGGAGGTCGATCCTCATCCCAGATCCTCGGTGGTGGTCACGGTTTCGAAAACGGTTCTTGGAGGCTGAATTCGAGGAGATGCTTCGGGTGGTCGAAAAACCACGAACATCTGTGAGGCATCGGCGGCGACGTCGAAATCTTCCTCTTTTGTTTCCGCTTCCTCCTCCTCTTCCTCCTCCTCGTCCTTCTCCTCTCGTTCTTCTCGATCGAGGTGGATGCTCGCGGATTTTCCGGCCGCCTTTCAAACGATTTTTGTTTGAACCGCGTTTGTTCCCTACCTAGGCTCTTCCTAGAGGGTTCTTACCGTTTTCTTTTAAAGGGCCGAGCAGTGTAAAGCGCCCCGGGCGGTCCCCCCAGGATCCGCCCCGCGGTTCCCCCAGCGACGCTCCCTTAGCTTAGCGTTGCCTATCTTATCTTAGTTTAGCTTATTTCATTTTAGCTTAGCTTAGCTTCGTCTTAGCTCAGGTTTATCATGGCTTAGCTTACCTTCATCTTAGCTTCGCCGAGCTTCTAGCATAGCAGAGCACAGCATAGCACAGCAGAGCGTAGCACGGCACAAGCAGCACAGCATATCATAGCAACGCCCAGCATAGCACAGCATAGCGCAACATCGCATAGCATAGCATCGCATCGCATCGCATAGCGTAGCGCAGCACAGCACAGCACACCATATCATAGCATAGCATAGCGCAACTTAGCATAGCATAGCCTATCATATCATATCATAGCACAGCGCAGCATGGCACATCATAGCATAGCATAGCATATCATATCATAGCATTTCGCAGCATACCATAGCATAACATAGCATAACATAGCGCAGCATAGCATGGCATGGTATGGCACAGCATTGCATATCATACCATATCACAGCATAGCAACTACTGCTGCTTTCCTAGGGGCTCCAACTTCTAGGTAGGGTCGTACTGGGGTAATGTTTGATAGGTTTCGGTCTCCGGGGGCCGCTGCTGGGCCCCAGGGATTTCAAAACCACACGGACCTGGGGCGAGACATTGCATCAGCGGAACCGGGGAGAGGTTCGGGGAACGAGCTTCTGCGGAGTAGCTCGTCGGACTCGGGAGGTTTTTTGTGGTGGGGGGGGTTCGGGCCCCCTCCTGTCGCCGCGGCTGGATGCATTTGGGAAACCGATTGCGACTGGATTCCGGGAAGGGTCCGGGGGGTTCACGGTGAACGATTTCTGCGTGGGGGAAAAAGAAGAATTTTGCTGCTAAATCAGAATATTTTCAATTGTTTCGTGGTTTTCGTCGTCGAAGGGCCGCCTCCAGGCCCCGGGGTCATTCGGGGGCATTGCGGATCCCCGTCGGGGCCTTTTGGGTGCATTTAGGCGCATTTTCATGTTTTCTCGGGGCGGAGTCCTCGACTTCTCCATTCGGGTTTCCCTTCTTACCCTCCTCTTGGGGCCCTCTTCGGGGGCCCTGTTGGGACCCATTTGTGCCGTCTGGGAGCCTTCTTGTGGGTACGCGTGGGCTTTTGCAATGATTTGGTTTTTTGTTGGTTGTTGTAGGACTTGTGGAAGTTCAAGAAGCGAATGCGTGGTTAAACTTCGACGTCTCCCTCCGGGAAGGGGCCGAGGTTTGGTTTTGCCGGGCCTCTTGGGACGCGTCCTGGTGGCGTGTTGGGAAGTTTCGTAGGCCTCAGGTATCAGCTGGAGGCAATGGCGGGCGTCTGCGAGCGATCTCCTCACGAGTCGTAACTCGCGCTCTGGAGCCGTCGGGGGAGCCTTGCGGGACCCATTTGGGAACTTTTCGGGGGCCGTCCTGGGGCCGTCTTGGGTCGGTTTGGTGGTTTCTGGGGCCTCTTGGCGCCCATTTGGCCCGTCTTGGGGCCTTCTTGGGACCGTCAAGGCCGTCGCTACGGTTTCTGGGGCCTTCGCGGGGCGCCCGGAGGCCGTCTTGGAAACCTCATGAAACTGTAGGGGGTCGATGTTGGATGCTTCCTGGGCCGTTGTAGTCCTCGTGGAAGCCCAAAAGGCCCATGTGCTGAAAATGCAGTTTTTTCTGTCGGGAATAGGACGATTTTTGCTCCTCGAGGCCTTTGTGGAGCGCCTCGTAGTAGTTTCTTTCAAACGTCTCGGGTGCCTACGGGGAATCGTCTGCAGGCAAGCTGGGGCAGTTTGGACCGAATCGTCCCCCTCGTGGGCCGTCCAGAAGGCCTTTGGGGACTTGTGTTGGCCAGTTGCGCGGCTCTCGTGGGGCCGTCCTGCGACTGTCCTGGGTCGTCGGTGTGGTTTCTGAGGCCTTCGTGGTGCGCCCGGAAGCCGTCTTGGAGCCTTTTTTTGAAAGCCTCTTGGGGTGTCGGGGGTCGAATTTGAAGGTTTTCTGGGCAGTTATAGGCCTCGTGGAAGCCCAAGAGGAGAATGTGCTGAAAAGGTATGTTTCCCCTTGGAAATGAGACGTTTTTTGCTTCCCGAGGCCCTGCCCTTTTGGAATGCCTCGTGGACGCGATTTCAAACGTCTTGGGGGCCTATGGTGCCGTCTGGAGGCGATCTTGGGCGGTTTGGACCGAATCGTCCCCCGCGTGGGCCGTCTGGGCAGCCTTTGGAGGCCCTGTTGGCCCGTTTTGGAGCCCTCTTGGGACCGTCCTGCGGCTCTCCTGGGCCGTTGCTATGGTTTCTGGAGCCTTCGCGGATCGCCCGGAAGCCGTCGTGGAGCCTTTTAGGGAGTTTCTTGGGCTGCGGAGGGTCGGTCGATCTTGGAGATTTCTTGGGCCGTTGTGGGCCGCGTGGAAGCCCAAAAGGCGAATGTACTGAGAATGGACGCTTCCCTCCAGGAGTTGGACGATTTTAGCTTTTGGAGGGCCTTCGTGGGGCGCCTTGTAGTATTTTTGCCAAGAGTCTAGGGGACTGATGGGGCCGTCTGGAGGCATTCTTCTGTGTTTTGGAACGATCCTTCGTCAACTGGTAGCTCTCTTTGACATTTCCGGGGCCCTTCTGAACCTTCTTGGTTCGTTTTGGGGCCTGCGGCTCCAAGTGTGCGGCCGACACTTTTGTCCCCGGCCCCCCCCCTCTCCAAACCGTCCGGACCGGGCCCCCCGGGGGAGGGGTTTGGGGAGGGGGAAGCATCTCACAAGCCGTGACCCCAACGGGTCGGCGGATTATTCGAAAGGGGGTGCCGCACGCTGGCGGCCCGGCTCCAGGGGCGCGTGCTTTCGGCCGTCGCGCATGGGATCGCGGGGAGGGAGCAGCGCCCATTTGCTCCAAACGCTTATGTTTACGAAGTGTTTGTTGCCCCCCCCCCCCTGCAGGCCGTCGCCGCGACCTCGCCGCTCGGCTTCACCTCGCTGGGCGGCGTGGCGATGTCGGCGCTGAGGCCCCCGTGGGGGGCGGCCCGCCCGGCCCGCGGTGCAGCGGGAACGCCATTTAGAAACACCGGAGACGTTCCGAATCACGCGACATGGTACACGGAGAGGGCGGGACCTTATGATCAGGACGTGGTGTGGGGAGAACGGCGATTCAGTATTCATATTAAGCAAGGGTGCGGTCGCACAACGTCTGACATCCTCCCTCACCCCCCACCCATTCCTTCCCATTGCGTTGAGTTGTTTCACTATCCGCCAACGGGTGTCATGGCGGACCTGGAACCCTGGGAAAAGGCCCCCATATTGCAATGCGCGATTGGAAAAGGGGGGCTGCGTTTTATTGGAAGCGGAGGTGGCGGATGAGTAGGATGATGAGCAGGAGGAGGATGCGGAAGGAGGAGGGCGAGTAAGAACAGCAGCCGCAGGAGCAGGAATAGCGGGAAGGCCAGGAGGACCAGGGGAAGGCGGGGGAGGAGAACTGAAGGCAGCAACAACGATTCTAGAAATGTTGCCCGCGTTGGTGCGAGAGCGCCATTCCCAGCGATGGGAGCAAATCACCCGACCCCAACATGAGACCAACGCTGCAGCGGGAACACCGTTGTAAAGCACCAAAACGTTGCGGCATGGTGGTGTCCCCCATTTTCTCCCTTCCTCCCCCTCCTCCTCCCGCTCCTTCTGACGTTGGTGTAGGAGGCCGCTGGGGGGCCACAGGTCGGCATCATGGTGTGGCCAGGGTGTATGATGAATAACGGAGAGGAAAAGGCCACAGAAGGGGAACGTGAGGACGAGAGAGAGGCGGGGACACGATCCCTGTCAAATGATACCATGCGGGCCATTCGCGCGCGTCGGCCGCACGCGTATGGCGAATTTTTTCCCAAAGCCTTCACCACCGACGCGGGGACACCATCATTGTCACCGGCGTGACCAGCATCGTCGCCGCCATTGGCCTTGCCGTCGTCATTGTCATCATCGCCACCAGAATCGTTACTATCATCATCGTGTCGGCCGCTGTCGGCATCGCCATGATACCACGCCCGCCCGAACCATCGGCTCGCCCGCCCGCTTGGAAGTGCCCAGCGGTCAGCGCCACCGCACTCGCGTCGGTCGCGCCGAAATAGGTGGCCGTTGCGCGCACGCGAACATGCGCGGGCTAGCGCGGCCGCGGACCTGCAGCAGCCAGCACCGAGCTCCCATCGCAGGGGTTTTGTAACGTTCGTTCAAAATCGGAACTAGTACCATCCCAGCCGGACCAGGCTCGACCCCCGCCCCACCATATTTTTTCCGATTGTACGATGATGGCGCACTCGTTTGCGACAAATCATCATAGGGTTCCAAGAATCCCCCGCACAAAAAAGGACGAAGTGCACACGCGCGCGTCGTCGCGCGAGCGTGGCGAAATCACTCTGGAACCGCCGGTTTCGAAAAGGGTGTAAGGTCGAATGTCGGGAACACATCGAAAACAATTGGTTTTGCAACATCCGATGCCGAATGAAGGTACGCGCGCGCGCTCTTGCAAGTGCTTCAGACAACTATCGATTCCCCAACTTGTGCCTCACATTCGACCAGACAGGCCTGCGCGCACGTCGAAGTCATTCGACCCCCATGCGCACGTGCTGGGGGGCACCATCCCTGTCAGATAAAACAATGCGGGCCTTTCGCGCGCGTCGGCCGCTCGCGCGTGCCGAAAGCGTTTCAAAACGTTCATGTCTCGCGCGGGGACACCATCATCGCCGTCGGCGTGATCGGCATGGACGCCGCCACTGGCCTTTCCGTCGTCATTATCATCATCGTCACTCGCATCGCTACTATCACTATCATCATCGCGTCTACCGTTGTCGGGTTCGCCAAGATACCGCGCCCGCCAAACTCACCGACTCGCATTCAAGTGCCCGTTGGGAAGTGCCCAGCGGTCAGCGCCACCGCAGTCGCGTCGGTCACGCCGAAGTAGCTAGCTGGCCGCTGCGCGCGCGCACGCGCGGGCTTGCGCGGCGTCAGGGACGCACCTGCCAGCGCCAACCACTCGCCGCCGCACGGGTTTTGCAAACCAAGTTGCCGGCGGGTGGGCGGGGTGCTTGCGCGAGGAGCGGAGCTGACAACTCCGCGTTTTTCAAACCTTATTACAGCGCTTCGATCGGTTCCCGCAGATTGCGCCATATATGCGTTGCGCCACACACATATATATAATCTGGCTCGAGCAATCTGAGATTTCCAGAGCGTGGGCGACATGCCCAACGCCCCGAAAGCTTGGCTTCTTTGTCACGCACACTGACGGCCTACGTGCGTCTCATCTCATGGAGTCCCATGTCTCTTCAGGACTGCGGCAAGCGTCTGGGGATCTCGGGAGATGGAACACATCGATGCAGTACTCTTCGCTGGAACTCAGACAAAGACTGCGACCCCCTACGAGACGCGCTCATCGGCCGAATTCCCCATTCTGAAATTTGGATGGCACCGCAGCAATGAACACTACAGGCGGCAAATCTTGCGGTGCGGAGATCTGGCTGAGCCGACGCTGGTTTTGGAAAACACACCGTGTCAAGCTATGGCAGCCCCCGCCCGCTCTTTGGGGCCGAGTAGGCGCTCGCGTCAAGAGCTCGCAGTTCGATCTCACATTCATCGCGGCATACTTTCCTCCGAGATCGCAGCGACTTGCCACTGCCTCCGAGAACGAAGTTATCATATATGAAATGTTGGCTTACCTACGCGGCATCATTTCGAATTTGCCGAACCGAACCTGCGTGTTCATTGGCGTTGGCATGGGCGGCAGCCTCGAGCGCGCCCGCAGCGCAGGTGACGACGAGGCCACTATGGGTATACATGCGCACGGGCAGCAGCACTACGCGGGAGAAGCCTGACACGCGATCATGAAGGACTGCGCCCTCTGCGCGACGAATGCGCGCTACTCGCGCGGCCCTACTTATCATGGGCTCCGCGGACGCACTCGCTACATCGACTACATCGCGATGCCTATGCGCTATCTAGCAAGAATTTGTCGCCGCGACATCGCCTACTGCGAGCATTTCCATCGCAACGCTTGATGGGCCATCTGATGTTATATATAGACGTGGGCTGCACCCTCAATTTCGGCAAGCCCCAGGCGACGCCGCAGTGGGGCAACGCCCGCATATTCTTACTTTGGGATGACGAAAGTTTCGTAGACTGGGCGAAGCAGCTCCGAGATGACATCGAGCTGGGCCTGCGTCGCTACCTCGGCGCCGTGACGTGGCGGACTGGGCCGAAAGGCATGCGATGGAATCCGGATGGCAACGTCTACTATCTATGACACGAGCACGGGTCTGGAGTACTGTGCAGCGAAGATGCCCCCGACCGGCATTGAGCATCAGCAACTTGCACGACAGCGCCGAACGCTCGGCAGGGCCCCGCTGGCGACCCCGAGGGTGCATTAGCGCTCCGACGACGCAGTGCTGCTTGCCAAAAATCCGACGACGATTGCGCGACCTCCGAGATGAGCAGCATTTTAACAAACTACAACATGCAGACGAAGCAGGACTGGAAGCGGAGGTTTGGCGTGCTTGCCGACGACTCGCTGGTAACGGTAAGGGCCTTGGTAGGCGATGCTACTTCGATCTACCCGACGCTCCACCCTCTGCTCAGACATGGGCCGAATATGCGGCACTTCCAGGCGCAGAAGGAGGAATGGAAGCAGCACCTGTTGACATTGCCCACTTCATTGACACCGTTGTTGCAAACGACGGACGTTTCTGCCCCACCACGCATCTCGGAAAAAAAGACGGCAGCAGTGAGGTCGAGCCCGCGATGATATTGCTGGCCCCCTACTCGGCGACGCGATCCTCACCCAGCTTGCTGCGGCACCTCAGCATCAACGGCTCAATGCGTGGTGGAATGTCTCCCAAACTTATCCAGTGAGCAAAATGAAGAGCAAGCCGCGCACTCGAGGCACGCGACTTTACATAGATTATGCACGTTTGGGAAGACATGGGTTGCATTAAGACAATTACTCACATCCACCCCGCTGGGCGACGCAGAGCACGCATGCGCGAGAGCACGCTCGCGATCATCTGCCATTGCAGTTGTGCTGGCACTGCAGTGGCGACTTACCAAGCAGCTACGGAGCCACATCACCACAGAGCATGACATAACGAACGCATTCGCATCGGTGGATTACTCCTACCTAGACGCCGCAGTGGACAAGATATACCCCCCTGGTGATTGCACTATGGTGAAAGACAGACATCGTCGAGCAGCATGTGATCAGCGATGGGATGAACATTCAAGGATGCCAGAACTCTGTGGGCTGCTTCATGGGTGATGCCGGCGCGGCGGCAGAGTTCCGCGCGTCTTCCACGCCGCCCACCGCTGCTTGGATTGCCGAACTTACTGCTGATATGAGCACCTCGATGATTGCGGGGCGCGAGTTCACAGGTGCCAACGTCGACATCAGCGTTCGCGAGTATGCCGACGACCTCACCGAGATTCACATGCGTCATGACTCGCAGACGGCAGCCCACAAAGCACAGCACTCCGACCAGAGTTCGAACGACAAGCTGAGGTTCTATTGGTCTGCAACAGAACGCGGGGAATGAAAAGCGGCACTGCCGACGTTTTTTGGCGCTGGCGCCAGTAGATATTCACGAGCCCTACACTTCCGCAGTGTACCTGTCGACGGCGAAGTCCATTCCTCGACTGTGTTCCTAGGCTCCATCGCGCAGGCCAGTGGCAACAACCACGTCGGGGCCAAGGCACGGTGTATTGCTGCTGCGCGTGGCTGGCGCAGCATGGGGCGTTCCTGGGATAATTACAGGACTCGAAGCGCGCGTTCTGACTAATGCCCAGCAAGATCAGATTGACGCGCGCGTGGCACGATCTGCACGAGCAGCCCTTCAAGGCACCGCATGTATCCAGCAGTCCCCCGATGGCGACGACACCTCCGGCACTGCCAACGTTGTTCGTAACGTCTCATCACGTGAAGTTTGGCGGGGGATGAAAATGGCGCCACCTTTCCTGGACATACAGATCACACGTACTAAGCGATGGCAACGCGTTGCTAGTGAGCCTGCGAACCACGCCCAAGTGCTAGCCTGTGCATTCGGAAAGCTGCTCTGCAATACCACAGCGACGATGGGCTGCACACGGGCCCCTGCGTGCCCAGATAGTGGAAGCCCCACGCATTTGACAACCCGTGGCGCACGCAGTTCTTTGACGATGTGAAGTTGGGGCAAGTATTTGCTGATGGGCGCGCGTGCCTCGACGTTATTGGGGATGATCCGGCACCAGGCCGATATGTTTCCACTAAGTTCACGATTGCACGCGTGCGACAGCGGTGGCTGGAACAGCCTTCTCCACCACGCAGTGCTCCAGATGCAACAGTCTCCTGCAGAAGCCCCCATACGTGCGGCCTCCCGCGCGAAGATGGTGCGTCATGCTTGTTCGCGGCCGAAACAAAACAAGCGCTCCGAGCGCGCCAAACGATGAGTGGGGAGGGGGGCGAGCACGGGCGAGTACGCGAACACACGCGATTCACGATTACGAACCAATGTCCTATTAGCCGATCGACTTTTGCGAGCCGACCAACTGCGATGAACCGCCTTGCTGCTGCTTATCGTTCTGGGCGATGCCAAAAAAACACCGCTCTGAATGCAACTTCAATGTGAACGATCCGCCGCAGCTGCGCTGCCCGAGCGACGACTGCGAGCACGCTTTCGCCACGTTTGGCGAATTGCAAGCCCGCGTTGCCACTGCATCTTTCTGCGCCACGCCCCCATGTCGCGCATGAACCCACTGTCCGGAGCTGGAGAGCTCGCAGGCGCAGCCGCGGCAGAGGCGGCGCAGCCTGCTCGCGAGACCCGCCGCCGCCAGCAAAGAGAGCGCGGCGACCGACAGGGCGGGTCGAAGGGCAGGCTTGTGGACCTGGACTCACTCGAACTGGAGGAGATGGACATGAAAGACAGTCAACGCACGTTCCCCATTGTCAGGAAACTATTGCTCAACGTGGCGATGAGACAGCGACAGACCGACGCTGTTTCGTTCAAGACTTACCTCGTCTCCCAAGGATCCAAAAGCGCGGTGGCGATCTGAGCCCGAATTCGCGCCCGGGCAAAACAAGCAGAAGCGATTCGCAGCCCGACGGCATCACCACACATCGACATAGAGATGGCGAAATTCGGCGCGATCAGCACCGCGGCCTCGGCTGGTCTGCTCGACGGCCTCCATCAGGAAGGCGCGTCCGTCGGCGGTCTCAACCAGCAGAGCCTGACGGTGCTCGGCGACAAGCTGAAAGTAACGGACATCAAGCAGATCGTCGAGCTCGCCCCTCTCGCGAAGGCCAGCGACACTCGCGACGCAGCGCAGTGCGAGCTTCAGATCAGCCTCAACCCCAAGGGGGGCGTCGACCTCAGCTTCTTTTTTTTCACGACTCACTCATCCAGACAGGAGCGAGCAACAGGCCAGGCCAATGACCGATGGCGGACTCAGTTAGAGGACGCACTCATGAGCTAGATATCTTCGCTTTTCACTGGGCAAGGCAAAGCCGCGCGCAATGGGGCCCCAGTATCCCACAGACCACAGCAAAGATGGGCAAAATGAGCAACTCGTCTGCATCAGGGGGCGCGCCTACGTCTACGCCGGTTGCCCATGGCATGGGAAGCTCAACGTGCGCATCTACGAGTGCGACTATGCATTCGCCAGTTGCTCAGGGCGTGGGGGGCCACATTTTGCGTCGCAGAGTGCGCCGACTTCGCCGGTTTTTCTGGGCATGGGCACACCGCTCCACGAGACGCAGAGTACGCCTACTAAGGGCATGGGAAGTCCACTGCGTGCATCACAGAGCCCGCCTTCTTCTACACCTATTGTTCTGGCCAAGGGAGGTCATCTCGAATTCGCAGCGCGCGCCTACCTCCACTGCAGTTGTTCGGGGCATGGAAGGCCCACCTCTTGCATCTTCGAGTGCGCCTGCGTCAGTTGCCCAAGGCGTGGGATGCACAAGTCGTGCACTTACGAGTGCTACACCGTCGTGATCCCGTACTGAGATGTGGACACCTTCGTTGTGGTCACACGCCCGAGCTCTGGCCAGGGCTGAGCTGCCACTTTCCCAGCGCCAGCTGCACTCATCCCGAGGCTCGTCTTACCATGCCCATTGCTACCAGGCAAAGCCCAGGATGCGACTCTAGAACTATGGAAGACTCGTCGGCACGCGCAGGCGTCAAGACCTGCGTTTCGTTTCCCGTCAGTGTGTGGCCACGCGGTTTATACTCGGGTGTAGCCCGATCCTAGAGGCATTCAGTGTCAGTGACATCCGAACTGTTTCCTCCGAGGGGTCCGATCCGATCCAGTATAGACAGAGCTCCACAACTATTGCTCCGCACAGATGGCTCGGAACACACTGTTCGGGATTCGATTTACACATTCACGTATCTACACATCAGCACTCCGTTTCTCCAGTTCTCCCCTCTCCCGTCCCCTGTTTTCCTCTCGTCGCCCATGTTTCTTCATGTCCTTCATTCTCGCCTTCCCTCCAGCACCAGATTCTGAACCTCCCGGGAGGCACGCGCCACTGTTGGTGCTGGTGGTGCTTCAGTTGCAGCTGCAGGCTCCCGCAAGCATCGGGGGGTGGGAGGGAGAAGGAAACTGCGTGCGTGCGTGCGCGCGTGCGCGTGAATGTGTGCGTGTGTGTGTGTGTGTGTGTGTCTGTGTGTGTGCGCGCCCTCCGCAGATTTCGCACGCGCGCCCTCCGCATATTTTTGCCACCTGCGCGTGACCACGCCTGTCGCCGCTTCTGTGGTCGTGGTGGTCCCCTGGCTTGCTATGTCTCTTACCTGGGTTCCATGGATTCGGTTCGAGCGCATCCAGTACACGTCTGAATGTTACTCGGTCTGCGCGCCATTCATGTTTCACCGGTGGTTGTGACCAAGATCGCCGCAGGATGTGTTTTTCTACGTGTGCGTGTGTGTGTGTACGCAAAATTGTGTTTCCGGTGTTCGCAGGGACCTTCAAAGTTTTTGTTGTTTTTTGTCGGCGTCTTTCAAAGTGTGCAACCTTCAAAACCGCAACTTCTTCGAGAGAACACAAAGGCCTGGACAAACGCATTCCTTTTTATATGCGAACCGGCAAGCGTGCTGCAAGGTGCTGGCTTGGAGGCGGGGGTGGGGAGAGGAATGATCTCGGTCTTTCCCGGGGCAAGCAGCAAACCGGTGAGTGTTCGGCTGGGGCTTCAGAGCGCGTTGGCGGGTTTGCACGGACGGTGGCAGGCTCTCCCCGACCCTGCGGGCACAGTGGGACCCGGCTTCATTTCCCCATCATGTTTTTGCCTTTTTTGTTGCATGCTGGTGTCTGCGCCTGAGATATAATCAGGGCGGGCGCCCTAGTGTTCTTATTGCTGCACATCCTGCTCTTCTTGCGGGGCTGCATACAGGGATCGACACGTGCGAGTGGCCGGCGGTGCTTGTGTTCAGCAGCTGTGGGGGGCAGAGCCTGTGTTCTCTAAGTTAGCAACCGCCCGCCACGGTACGGGGCAACCGATGCGGCTTGCCAGGCGCTCGTTCATTTGCCCCCCGTTTCGTTCCGATCAGACTGGCGTCGAGGTTGGCTCCGCTGTGTGCAGTCTGCTCGCTGCGGGTCTCGGGCCCGACGTGCCCTTCTGGGATTGGTTCGTGGGTCCGGCAAGGGCCCCCCAAGATACAAAAGCACGTCGTGCCGTTGTTCCTGTCGTCGTCCTCCTCGTATTGATTGCAGAGCGTCCCCGACCACTCTAGAGCGTCCGCGGTGACCGCTACATCCTCAAGACCAGCTGGCCCTCAGAGATTTTCGAGTCATTCGTACCGGATGTTGATCGTATCCTGGTTGCCCATCTTATCATGGTTGATGCTCCCAGGGCCCCCCGCAGCGCGAGGTTCGGCCCGGGACGGGATGTGGAATGATGATGAGGACCAGGGAATAGGGAGGAGGGTGAGGGCCCAGGTCATGTCAAACAGTTCCTCACGATGGAATGAATCGCCAGCTTCAGCAGACTGGGCAGGGAGGCACCGCTTGAAATTTATCGAATATTCAAACGGGCACTGAAGCGGTTTAATATTTCCAAAATTGCGCCCCGCAGAGTGCATCAAACACTCGTTCTTCGGTCGCTGATTCGTCCTTCTTTTCTTCCGCGTCTGGGGCTTTTTGCGGCTAGGGGCTTTTAGGGGGCCCTCTGGGGGCTTCTTGGATGCCTCTTGAGGGAATGTTGGGGCCATCTTGTGAGGTGGGGCTCCCAGTGTCCCTGCGGGCTCCTTTTATTGGTCCTCTCCTGGGCCCGCTTGAGGTTATTTTGCAGTCTTGCGGGCAGCTTTGGGCCGTCTTGGGGCCTTTTTGCGCTGTCTACGTGCCTTCTTGGGAGCCTGGCACGCCGTCTGGATCTTGCAGACGCCCGCAACGGCGAAAAGGCGAAAATCGTTTGAAAGCCGAATGGAACATGAATGATGTGTGCCTCTTGAGGCCCTCTTTGGGTGTCGTCTTGAGGCTACTTCTGGCGTTCCAGAGGCTTCTCCAGCGCGTTGGAGCACTTCTGGGGATATCTTAGAAAGCAATTTGGGCATCTTGGACGCCACGGAGGGTTGATTATGTGGCCTCAGCACCAGAGATGCGTGAGCTCGTATCCCTCCCACACCCACCCACACCCTCTCACGGATTTTGGACACCAGGGGAGGCGGAAACAGGGAGGGGCGACAGTCAATCATCTCACACGCCTCTTCACCGGGGCAAGCGGGGGTCGGCGGATTTACAACAGGTTATTGTTGGCTATCGTTGAGTTTCAAGGTGCATTGCAAGAGCTCATCGCTGCTGCTGCACAATCGAGTACCGTCGAGTGGGACACCTTCAGTCCGCGAATCTTCTGGCACATGTATCTGCTGCCGGCTTCGATCCGATATATCATTCCTTGTAGAGGGAGAATGGCCTGTAGACTTAAGGGCTGGCAGGCTTGCAGTGACTGGGGTATGCCGTTGCTGGTTGGCTCAGCTTCCATACGTTATATACCTTTTAGAAGACGTTTACCCTTCGACCGCTTCGTTCTCGCTGAAAACAAGCTACCGCGCCAACTCCTTCTAGGGGATATCGTAGGAAAGGATGGGATGGATGGGGGTGCAAGAAGTCGAAGAAAGGAGTTCAGGGGACAAAGGAGGAGGAGGAGGAGAAGGAGGTGGAGGCACGCTTGGCGAGCTGACAGGGACGCGGGGCAAACGGCAGCCGATGGGAGATGTTCTTCTGGCGCATTCCTGGACAGCGTTAACGCCCGCTGGACATTCCTGGCTTTCCGTTTACGCGACGAACTGCAAATTCCAAAGGGCGAGGCGCCGAAGAAGAACCAGGTTCGGAAGACAGAGCGGCCTCAAGACTTGGGGCAGGCAGTCGCTTGCGCCACCCACAAGCCAGCCTGGAACGACTTGGGCCGCAGGTTCGTTTGCGCAGTGGATTGCCAGCCCATGCAAAAGGTTGCATGCAGACACGCACCGTTGCAATGTGAATATATGCGACCGCCTTTCCAGCGAATGCTACCAGTGCTCTGCGACATTTTAAGTTGCGGATGGCTGCCTCCACACGACCGGGATAATCCAGCAAGTTTCTTTCAGGCCGATGATTTTGCAACCTTACGATGGACAGAAAGAGGTCCTGGAGAGAGCAGCGCCGGGCCCCACAACAACCATACAACATCATCATATTTTCAGATGACGGTGTCCGGGCGGATTGCTCCCCCTGCGCGTGGGCCGTCGGTGCATTTGCGCTGGAGGATGCCAGAGGGCACCTTCCATCCCCAGATCCTTGGTGGATCCTACATCGGGCCTCCAACGTATTCTTTTTTATCCGAAGTTTCGGGGCCTCGAGTCCGCGCTCAAGGAGGCCGGATCCTGGATCCGTGCCCATCACAGACTGTAGTGGCCTCAGGTCTTTGCCGTTGCCGCTGCTTCGTTTGCCGTCGCCGCTCTCGCTTGTCCCCCCCCTTGCCTCCCTCCCCCGTTCCCTCGTTGTTGTTCCGCTGTCGCTTCGCTGCCTCGCCTTTGCCTTTTCCTCTTATCCTCTTGTCCTCGTTGCCGCCGCGCTCTCTAACTGTCGTCGCGATGTCTTGGGTCTCTGTGCTTACCAATGTTTCACTCGCTTCCGATCGATACCAGGAAGGGTACCTTCCCGGAGCTCTGTTGGCCACCGAGAAAGAAATTAATACAGCGGAGGAGTATTTTATCAAGGAGCAGATACAGGGGTGCATCATCCTCGCCTTGGGGCGAAAGCCCGCCGTGGCCCCATCCTCGCCTGGAGACGAACGCTCGCCGTGGCTACCGCAAGGCGTGCTTCCAGGGCGCAAAATCAGATAGCCTGTACGCGCAAAGCGCGACTCGGCTTGCGGCGCCTCTCCGCGCAAAATGCGCGATTCAGCTCGCAGGATTACTCGTCAGGGGGGACCTCGAGGTCCCCGATATTGGCGTCCAGGGCGAAAACACCGAAAGGGACAGAGGGACAGGGACCCGACCGCGGGGCCAGCCTGAGGCCTGCCCGATGGGTGTAAGCCCTGCAAGAGTTTGGTGAGGCTGTTCTGGGACGTTGAGCCGCGAACGCTTTGGCCTCGGCAGTGATGGGCTAGGCCTTGCATGTTATCCTTGCAGCGTGCTCCGCACGCCCAAGAAAAACGAATGGACCTACCTGCCACAGGTGGCGCCCTTATCTGAGGGTCTTAGCATCGCTGGCCACGCGCAGCCAGCGGGCACAGCGGATGTGGCCTTCGAAGTTGACCATATCATGCGTGCCTGGCTGCGCTCCGACATCCCCCTCGGACCTTCGCGCGCCACATCACGGCTTGAAGGTTGGAGGTGCGGGGGGCCGATTGCCTTAAGGGTGCGCGCGAGGTGCGTGCGGCATACTGGACTTATTGCTTAATTTGAGTATTGGCCGTCTCGTCGTAAGGGTTCACAGATTCGCCCGAGCGCGCAGCCTGATCGACAAACTTGCTACCCACCCAAGCGCAGGAACCTGGCATCGTCTGATCGCACATCGTCTCTCGCGAGTGCGCGGCCCTCGGATTTGTTCGACAACAGCGCGTCCCCCCCCCCGCGCGCCGTCGACCCGCTCCCGCGTTCGGAGCCGCAGGTCGGCACAAGAGCAAATGCTGCTGGCGGTAGCCTCTCTGCATGCCGATGGAGGAGACCACCCAAACACAGACATGTGACATACCTCTACAGGAACAAGCCCAGCGATACATGTGACAGGCGCATCAACAGGCCAAACCGTTTGGTCACTTCCGCGTCTTGAAGGAGGCCGGTCGTCTAGTTGGGGCCGCTACCTCTGGGCCGGGTGTCCGGCCACCGCGCCCCCTCTTGAGGCGGGCTTCGCGCGCGAGAGCGGATCCGCATGAGCCGCCCCAAAGCGTTTCTCTTTCGCCTGGCCCCCAGTGGGCTTGGCAACCCAGTGAACTTTGAGATCGGGGGCGCGCCGGGGGCACCGGGCGAGAGGATCAGGCAGCAAGCCGTGGCCCCACCAGGCCTGGCCCCCGCTGGCAAGAGCTCCCTCGCGCAGGGACGGGGGTAGGGGGTAGGAGACAGCCGCGCGTGAAACCCCATGCACGAGGGC